CCATGGCCCTAGTTCGTTTTTACTGTTTATGTTTTGGCCGTGTTTGTTTTTGTCGTTTTTCTTGTTGTTTAGGCCGTCACCATTTATTATTTTCCCCAGCGACTCTTCATAATAATTATTATTCAACCGTTATTATGCCTTTACCGATTTTTATTTTCTTTCCTAATTGTCACGTAGACAATTATCTCCCATAATTCTGATCAACGAATTATTTTCACCCTTCCACTCTTCTCTTACCTCCTGATTGTTATGTGACTCTTGTTACTACCCGTGGTCAGGTCTCATAAGGATCTAGGGGTGACAGTGAGTCATGATCTTAAGACGACGGCTCATTGCCGGAGGTCGCAGCTAAGGGGTTTCGAAGCCTATGGGCTTTAAAACGGACATTCACTAAGTTAGATACTACCGTGTTCACCACAGTATACACATCCTTCGTGAGAACTGAGCTTGAGAACTGTGTTCAGGCTGCAAGCCACTGTTTAAGAGGTGACTCGGATATCCTAGAAAAAGTACAGAGAGCAGCAACCCGTTCAATCCCGGAACTCCGTAGTTCACCATACAAAGAGCGACTTGAAAAGCTAGACTTCTTAACACTGTCCTATCGCAGATTAGGGGGAGATCTAATTTTGATGAACAAAATACTGAGAAATTACTATGGACCTAACTTATTCTCTCTGTTCTTCCCATTAGACCGGGACATCTCAGAGGACATAGCAGATGAGTATAAAAGCTAAGAACGAACAAAATACCGGTGGCATACAGGTTTTCATAGCAAGTCATCAATACTTTGAACCTGATGACAGAAGCAGTGGTGTAAGCACCTTCAAATGGTTCAAATGGTTGTGGACGGAATAGAAGAAGCTTTCGCTTAACAGGCTTCTGTGTCTAATAGCAGGGGATCACCAAATCCTCCAGGCAGGAACCTAGGTATGTTAACAATAAAAGAGGAAAAGAAATTGGTAAATCATAGTGTGGTGCTGTCCTTGGTCCTTAAGAATAGGTCAAGTTGCCTCTTGAAGGACTCCTGAGAAGTCGCTTGGACTAGCTCGGCTGGCAGCGAGTTCCAGATTTGACAACTCTTAAGGAGTAGAAGTTGTGTCTACATTCCGTCTTGCTATGTTGTGTTTCCAGTTTCTGGATGTTACCCCTTAGGTTATTATTCGAACTAAGCTTAAGTAGGTGTTTGAGAGGATGTCCAGAAGTGTTAAGAATACTATAAGCCATTAATAAATCACCTCTAAGACGCCTATACTCTAATGGGTATAGGTCTAGTGAATGGAGGCGTTCTTCGTAAGGTTTAGATTTGAGTCCTCGAACTGATTTCGTGGCTCGACGTTGGATACGCTCCAAAGTGACCTTGTCCTTTTGGAGTGAGGGAGGGAGTACTATGTTTCCGTACTCTAAATAGGGACGGATGAAACTATTGAAGATTGTACGGAAAGTTCGTCCGTCAAACTGTCCAAAAATGCGCTTCAACGTTACCAGTGCAAGGTTTGCTCGGAAGGCATTTTTGTCACAGTTAGCGTAAGACTTTAAATCATGTGGCACCAGGACTCCTAAATCTTTTTCGACTTGGGATACTACTAGAGAGGAGTTTCCTAAGTTGTAACTGTAGTTTGCAACATGTCGCAGATGAACTACTTTACACTTTGAAGTGTTAAAGGTAAGTCCGTTATCGTCTGCCCAACTTTGAAGTCGAGTCAGATCCTCCTGAAGTGCCTGTATATCGTCTCGGTTGCGTATCTCTCTCCAAAGTTTCACGTCGTCGGCAAAAAGTAATAAGTCTGACGTTACCTGTTGAAGAAGATCATTTGTGTAGATCAAGAAGAGAAGAGGCCCTAGTACTGAGCCCTGGGGGACCCCACTAGGACATTCCATAGCCTGAGATAAAGTGAAATTAACCCTAACCTTAAAGTGTCGATTTTCTAGATATGAGGTAAGCCAATCGATTAGAGGTGGTTTGATACCTAGTCGTTTGAGCTTATTGGTAAGACACAAGTGGTTAACCAAATTATTGTTGGGATACCTTAGCTTAGTTTTGATGACAAAACTGAAGGCTATGACGGCATGATCGCTCTTTCCCAGAGGAGCCAGGATTGAGAGGTTGTCAACTAGGAATTCTTCGTTAGTGAATACACAGTCTAAGCGCGATGGTGTCTGACTGTTTCTCCAACGAGTTGCCGACCTCACATTTTCATATAAGCCCAAGTCATCGATGAGGTTGAAGAACCGAGCTTCAATTGAGTTGTCGCCTCCAGTGTACGTGTGTTCCGCGAAGTTGACTCTAGGGAGATTAAAGTCCCCTAGAATCAGGATGTGTGTGAAACCGAGACGGATAGAGCGGGATAGTCCTTCCAGCATACGACTATCGTACTCGATGTCGGCAGTTGGCTTCCTGTAAATGACTCCGACTAGACACCTCGAAGTACTAGACAATCTTACAGAGCACCATATGGATTCCTCAAGATTGTTAAACTCGAGGTTGTGAACTTGGTGCACCTCCAAGCAAGAGCTTATGTATATGGCTACTCCGCCCCCAATTCCTGTTTTTCTGTCGTTGCGGAACAAAGTCATCCCAGGTAATGCTAACTCTTGGTCCGAGAACTGAGAAGATATCCAGGTTTCAGATATTCCTATCAGATGGGCCTTATTAGCGTTGCTAAGTTCACGTAGTTCATCCAGTTTGTTTGGTAGACTCGCGGCGTTCATATATAAGCAGTTTATGCTTTCAATTTGGAACGCGTGAGCTTCGTCCTGTTTTTCTGTATGAGCCTTATGTGAATGGACAGGTAGCCCACCTATATGAGGTTTGCCGAGGTGGTAGGCCCTGTCCTTTACACGTTTTTTTATCGTTTAGACAGTCCACAAGTGGAATGGTCAGCTCCAACTTGCTTTTGTGTTTGGTCCTAGCTTCATATGGCCTATCCGGGTGCATGTGGATTCCAGGTGGCAATCGACGTCTGTTGGCACGAAATGCTTCCAGAACTGCAGCCGCCATGTGGGAAGATGGGAAGGTTATCTTCATTAGACGAGGTCTAGGATCACCGTCCTTCTTGGCTAGTCTCGTCACATGCTGAGTCAGTATGTGTTTGAGCCTCAAGGACTGTTTGATGAATTTCCATTCCCTGATGTCAGAATTTGATTGAGTAGGGTCTGCATTTTCCGGTATACCTTGCACAATTATGTTTCTTCCGCGGAAAAACTGATCGCGAGATTCTTTGGGATGTTCCGTATGATATTGCGCTCAGAGTACGGTATGTCGGGCAATATTTTACGTTACCATCGGATTTCAGCAAGTGACTTGCTAGCAAGACGTCCTCTACGTCGGCAGCATTCTTAAGTGTTACTCGGAGAAGCCTCGGGTGATTTAGATGCTTAGAATCCTTTCCTCGAGTGAGCCGGGTGACCGTCAAAGGCTCTATTCTAGGAAGTTCGAGCTTCTTGTTCAATTCACCCCAGAGCATCCTGTCGTTTTTGTCCTGCAGACTGAGAGGAAGATCAGGATTGTCAACGAGGTTCATGATAATGAGAGAATCGTCACGAACTGTTGTTAATTTACCAGGTTTCACGATGGGTTCAGGTTTAATAACTTGTTGTTTGGAGGTCAGTGCGCGTTTTTGAGTCTTGGGCTCTTTGTAGACCGGACGAACAGTCTTGGGGGTAGACTGTGCGACCAAATCACCAGTTATTTTCCGTGCAGCAACACTTGGGTTGCTCGGCTTAGGCGGTGATGCCTGGTTCTTTTGGGCTCTCTTAACGTGGGTCGAATCACCTACAGGGTTTTTGGGAACCACTGTTGTGTTCAGGGACCCTAAGCTGGGAGACCCGAGTTGCTTAGGGAGTCTAGTAATGTCGACGTAATGATGGTGCTGAGCCTCGACACGTCATCATTAGTGTTGACGGATGCTCCATCGGTGGTATACCTATCGACATCCCTATTTTTGTATCCGTCGCACGCTCTTGTTTGTCTACCGGTTTTTTTACTATCGTTATCCAAGTTAACTGACAACTTGTTCCGAAGACCTGTCAGTAGGACAATGATGTTACTCAGCAAGACTACAGCGTCCGTGCTGCACGTGACACACACCCACTTTTGCTCTGACTTGCTGAGTCTGTTGTAAGCAGTTGCTGTCAGATCTGTGCATGCTTCGTGGAACCAACCTTTGCAGTTGTCGCACTGCATGCCAGTTGTAACAGCAAAACGGCATCCCGGACGTTTGCATGAGTTTTTCATGACTGTGTTGAAGCAAACTATGTTATAGATGCTTGCAAAAGCCTAAGACCTTTAAAAAACACTAAAAAGCACACTGAAAACGGACAAAAATGGATAAAACGAGTGATATAAACTGAAACTAGTCTATACGTGAAAAACAAAAAAAACCGAATAGTAAGCTGAGGCAAAACCACAGGTAACTATTAAATATGGTGAAACTCAAAAAAAGTAATCTACCGAACGTATAGCTCAGGATAGATTCTTTAGAACTGAAATGGTACTTTTGTTGCGTAAGAACACAGCAAAAGTTTGATAAATGCAAATCACGTTAGGACTAAACTTCTCGTTCGAATCAAAATTCAATTGACTCTTTCAAGAGAATACTAAGCACTCATAGAAGCATAATAGAAAAGGAATAAAATAGGCTGTAGAACTTCTGCCTTTACTACACAAATCTGAACCTGAAATCTGAATCTGTTATTTGAAATCTCGAGTCACTTTACGATATACTACTTATCATCGTTCCACAGACTTTGTTATTTATTTGTAATTACTATTATAGATGTGAACGTCGTAAAAAATTTCCTCCGCCGAATTCTCCTTACTTTTATTCGATTACACTACTGATTGCTTCAATTTATACTAGATCATGACAAAGGTATTGGATATTGACATACTTTTCATTTGACCTTATTTGTTCCCGGGACTATGGTCGACTTCACGTTTTATTTTAGCGACGGATGGTTGGGGGTATGAGAGATGATAGTTTGGTGATAATAACACATCTATGTTTAAAGCTGCAAATGCTCTGGTGCTCTTCTCAGTGGTTATATGTCATCTAAATATTTGGTGCGTAAACCTGTCAACACTGCCTATACCACCACTAAGAACCAATGTAACCCGTCATTTTCGTGTTGGTTCAGACATAACTTTGAGGTGTGGAGAAAATCATCATCTAAACCCAACTCTTATCTTATGGCTTGACCCTTCGAACAAAACAACGTCTAAAGAAACCATATCGTTAAGGAATGCTAGCGTTGCGCAATCTGGAGAGTATTATTGCCGGCTGTTTCATAATGGAGACTTGAAGTACCACCAGTCATTATTCATTGTAATACAAGGTAAGCTAATCACCTATGTAATTGTTAAGATAAACCGTTCTCTCCAACGTCTATTCTCATCCAGGCACTGTCTGAAAGCTCAATGAACGCGTCATGGGTCTCTGGAAATAGTCAAAATAGTCCCATTTCTCTTCATACTGTCTATTTGCATGACAAGTAAGTAATTTGTACATCGCACTTTTGTGGCGCTCAACATACTGTATTTTCTGTATAGTACAATATCTATTCCAAGGGTGATAGCATAATTTATTCCATTTCACAAAATTATTACAAGTATTCAATAATAAGGAACTTGAAGCTTCTAAAGACTTACCTCCATAAGTCGTTGAATTTTACTTTGTATATAACTAAAATACTTTGTTCAAGAATAGGATATTTTCCCGAATCGCTTCTCAGAAACCTTCACGAGTTCAAACGTTCCCGTCAACAAAGTGACGTTAATGAATACCGGCATCAGTCAGTAAGTCAGTCTCGGTCAGAAACCCCGAAGTCGGACCAGGCTCATTGTTAATTATGCTTGACTGTGTTACGAAAATTTGTTAAATGAGATTACGGTTTTTCTTGTGTATCGACATTTCCCGGTAAACTATTGGTAGTCAGAGACCACCTTAATTTTGCATCTGCCAGCAACTGGTCTCGACCTCTCCGAAGATCAAACCTAAGGCGTAAGAGCATTGTAGTTAGTAGTAGTATATCAATCCCAGACTTCGATTCACCCCCAAATGCCCTGGTATGGCCGGGAGTGGTGTGGGCTCTCCCTCTCGAAATGCTCTCACATGGCCACGCATATACAGCCTCTGCCAGGGAAGTCTTACTCACTGCCTTCTCGTGGCGGGGGGTGTTGTTTACGAAAATGAGAGAACGAAAAGCGAATGTCCGGCGCTTCAACCGGATCCCAAACCAATGGTGCACATGGGCTCCAGTATCCTGAGAGAACAAATGGCGTGTGAACCAATCGCTGGTCACCGGCTACCACGGGGGTGCATCTCCTTACGATGCTCCACTGCCTTGTGAGTCAGACTTTCAGGTCGAAGGCTCGGGGTGTGGCCTCCTAAGAAAATCATTTGCTTCGGTTTGGGCACCCGGGCTTTATCACAGCCCACACACACAAATATGGTGTGGCGCATGTATATTTGGTGCCTTCTTGTACCAATATTTATGTGTTGAAATAAGTAAATAAATAAAGACTTCGATTCGGTTTTCACGATTCCCCCTTTTCTGAGAAGTGCCAAACTATGACGAAACAACCGCAAAATACTTCCTTGTTTTTAAAGAACCATTAAACAATATTGATTTCTGAAGGGAGTTATCGTGTTAGGGAGTATGGTATTGCCACTTGGAAATGATAACAAGTACTACTTGTTCACTAAAAATCCTTGTCTTCTAAAGTTAATTTGAAGACAAATTACATTTAAAAGGAGTGATATTGCGCATCATTTTCAAAACGGTTGAATTAGTTCAACCTAATTTCGTCCATTTCCTCGAGTATATATATCATGTCTTAACTTAAGATTGATATTCGGTAGCAAGGTTTAGAGATGAAATCTAGTTAGGCAGAATCTTCTTGATGGATACGATCATTTCGCTCTCCGATATTCTCGTTGAATTTGACAAAATATGTAATTACTGGTTCCCATCTGATACGTCAGATGATCCTATTTACTAACAGTCGCAAACGCTCCTCGTTTTCGATATCCTTGCTATGGATACATTTGTCTAAAAAGTAGCCAACGCTTCAGTCCAAGCTATTAAAATCAAAATAAATAATTAGAAATAAAGCTATGCATTGTATACAGTCCATTTTGTTAGTACTTTGTAAATTATTGACAGTCGGTGTCGTTTACTGCAGAATCACGTGCTTCAAGAATTATATATACATATGTAGGAAAAGCTAATGATAAAATTTACTGCGAGGTAGTCATTTTCAGTCTTCTAACCAGAATATATGGTGTCTAGTAGTAGTAAGATTAAAGAAGTTCTGATAATCCAGTAGTTTAATATGACAAAGCAGCCGGACGAAATAAGTTCTTAAGTTTGGATTAGTCACTCCTAACCAGGAAGACTGAAGGTTATCATAATTTTTAAAGATAAACGTACTGATTCTTACTGCCTGTTCGTCATTTGACAAAATATTCACGTCTAATTAGTGCAGCTTGCGTTTTTACATTCCACAGTGTATTCGGAATGTCTTACCATTTAAGGTTGCTGATTCAAGTTTTGCTCACCAAATTCCGTACAGGTATAATTGTAAATCTGTTTATAAGGTATCACAATTTTATTTTCCAGTGACCAAAAGATTGCCGGTTATCCATTCTGTTCGGATGCATATAAATCGTTATTTAACATCGGTGCATGTCTGTACTTTCACCCGTGTTATCAGACCAGTAAAAACGATAATATTACAGCAGGTCCATTGCTTGTTTATCAGAAGAAATACAGAATTTTTTGAAGTAATAATAGTCCACTATTTACACAACGATAACAGGCCTGAAGAGAATCCAGGCAGCACGTATGTGAAGGCATTTGTTCTCATTCAAAGCCAACGTTAAGTTTAGGTCGCTGCGTATTCCCTCTTAATTGTGCATTATCCTGTTTAACGGTGGTTATGACTGACCGACCGATTTCGTTGCGTTTAATATTTTGTATATCCGTAGTCTTTATTTACTTTTAGAAAGTGTAGTGAATGAGGTGGTTGTAGTAGCTTCTCGTACTTCTACTCCAGGGAGTTTTAAGCACTTAACTACAGATGAACTTTCTACTTCATTTACTCAAGTATAAACAGACCGTTGTCTGAATTCAGACGGCGCTAAATCTATTACACGAATGTGTGTGATTTTCGGGGAATATTTTAAAATAATTTATGTGCAATTTTGGGATATTTTTATCTACTCAAACCAAAACATCTTTTTTTGCAGTAATAGCTTAGTTTTACAAAAGAACGTATCATCCCCTCTGTCCAGCACAACACTTCATAATTTGAAGCCCTATACTTGCTACACTTTGTATATTCGCGCTTTGAATGACATTGGTTGGAGTGAATTCAGTAAACCCAGTCACTCACTCACTCTTCCTGGTTTGCCTGTTGCTCATCCATCAGTTCACATCATCAATGTTTCCAGTCACTCAATTTCTGTAGATGTAGGTATCGCAAATTTAAAGGATATCATTCAAGATAACGTCAAAAGATGTATAGATCAAGATGCTCGATTTATATCGTTACTACATGGCCCACTGGTCGGTTACATTGTCACAGTTGCTACAATCCAGCCTTACAAGTTTGCTTCAAAAACGTTTTACAATGCATCTGAATCATTCTCACAGGTAACTATTGTCTCCTTACACTTTAGTGTTTCTGGGTTGCTGATGTCATTTACTGTAAGATTCCTTTTGTTATATTGTAAATTTTCAAGATAGTTGTTGTAAATCACAGGAAGCGAAGTTATTTCTCTATAATTTTCATAGTACAGTAGTCATAAGGTAATACAAAAAGTTTGATTTTATGAGAAGAGTTTTCGTAAACATACATGAGTTGTACTAAGTTAGATTGATACAAGCATCCAGCGTTCAGCATTTCAACTGTATAGTATGAGTAAATAAGCACCTTCAATCAGTTGTTTGGTTTTCCTTCGTAATTTAAAAAACCAAATGGAATTATCCAAAATTGATTGCTAGTTTCACTGTTAGTTGCTTCACCCAGAGGCAATCAAAGTCAGTAAAAGCACTCCTCTAAACTCATCTTTCTATGAACTTAATTTCATCATTTTAGGTTGTAGATATATCCGATCTGAAGCCATACACACGGTACAATTTGTCTTTCGCTTTTTATAATGGTCGTTTTTCGGGCCCGTTCACGTCTTTGGTTGCTTCAACTACAGAAGGGATTCCCGGGAAGCCAAGGATAAAAAACTTTGAAAGTTCATCCAACTCATTGTCGATTGACTGGGAAAGTAATGCTGATGCTGTGGGGAAAATACTTGCCTATAAATTGGAAGTAAGTAGTAAATGGCATAAATTTATGTTTTTCAATCCTATATCAATTTAACCTAGTCTGTTTATAGTAACACGATTACCTTTTTTAAAGACAATGCTATTACATATAATTTCGGTTACTGAAAAAGTTTGTAACTGATAATGACAGTCGCACTTGTTAGATTTTCTGTAAGGTTTACCCATGGAATTTGTAATTAAGCCCCCAAATGCCCTGGTACGGTCAAGGGTGGGGAGAGTGCGCTCTCCTCGAAATGTTCTCACATGGCCACGCGTATACGGCTACTGTCATACTGCCTTCTTGCGGCGAGGGTGTTGTTTACAAAATTGAGAGGACGGAAAGCGAATGTCCTGCGCTTTAGCAGGGTTGGTGGATACAGAGGGCCCATCTAAGGGGTTGGAAAACCCTGATTCCAAACCAATGGTGTACGTAGGATCCAGGATCCTGAAGGTACAAATGACGTATAAACCAATTATTGGTCACTGGCTACTATGGGACTGCATTTCTTTACGTTGCTCCACTACCTTATGAATTGGACCTTTAGGTCGAAGGCTCCGGATGTGGCCTCCGGGGAGGACCATCCAAGCAGTATCACAGCCCACACGCAAATCAAGTGACTTGTGTGATGCATATGTATTCGGTGCCCCTTTATACCAATATTTATGTTCAAATGAATAAATAATAAATAAATAGTTAACTCTTCATGCTTAATAATTAAGCATTTACAATTGGCTATCTGAGTCCAGATAAAAAGCAATTAACGAGTGGTTGAATAATATCTAACTCGTCTTTTATATATATAATTTTTTCCCAACCCATTCTTTTTAACAGAATTCACTTTGTATCATGTAATTTAGTGGTCTTGTTTGGCCACAGTACTGTTTTTTTGTGATTTTGTTTATCCCATCTCTTCCCAAAGGACTACGAAAAGACGTTGCTAAACCGTCACTTATGCGGGCGGTAATAGGTACGAAAACAAAGTTGTTAGTTTCTCCATTACGGTATCACACAGATGGGCTCATTAAGTCAATTGTCCCTGTGTTCTCAGACTGTAAAGTGGAAAATACAGGTGGTGTCTAAACTGTTGCATGGCAGTCTCATTCGTTCCACAAATTGAGGATATTTGTTTAGGAAGTTTACCATTGTATCTGTGGTGTATGCTACTTATGTTTGCGGATATAAATAGTATGTAGCACCAGTCGGAAGTGAAATGTCTACGAGCAAGTTTAGAAGACTGAAATGAAGAGAAGAAGAAAGGAAACTGTACGCGATCAGGCTAACAACAGGAATAAAGGACCAATGAGGCTTGTAACAGATAATTCAAAGATGTGCAAGCGATGTATTTGATGTAGGATTTTCACATTTTACTAAACCAATGTGTCATTATGTATTAAACAATAAGTTTGCCTTCTTCACCTGAGTGTTTGTTCACTACAGTCTTGTTTGTTCCGAAACAATAGTGAGTTCATGCAAAGCTTCGAAATTTCATTATTTCCTTAATTCCTCCACCACTTTAATTATTTCGAAGAGAATTGCATGATGATAGTTCTAACTTATTATCCGTAAATGAACGTTTCATTCTTTTGTTTACAAATCAGATAATCCTACTGTGCGATACTAAACATATTACAAGTTCTTTAGGCTTATCTCAAAATCTGATAGGGTTCAGGTTATTTATTCTGGTTTGTACGGTTATTGAAAATGATTCTATGGATACCACGGTATTCTTAAGTGTTTTTTGATGAATCTGGGTTTTGTCGACCGTACATGTGTTTTCGGTTTTTAATCTCACTAGCTTCACACATGTTCCAAAAACGATACCCAGAGTTCTAAAAGGTTAAAAACTGTTCAGGTGGATTCAAAGGAGTTACAGTTTGTGTTTGGGAATCTGGATCCCAACACCTGCTACGTTATTCGCGTGGCATCTGCTACAAAAGCTGGATTTGGACATTTCAGTGAAATCGAAGTCCGCACTAAATTTGAAGGTTGGTTTTTGCCTGCATTTTGTTATGTGAAGAAACTCAATAAGTGTAGTATAAATTAACCTTATTAAAAATCATCCTGAGACACACTTTTCAAATTATATTGTATGTTGTGCAACCAACTTATAAAATAACTATAATCTGAACTTTTCCAAATAGGACCATATTAAATAAGCGTCTGGTTCATATTACGAAGCAGATTGATAACAGTACTTTACTATTTTACTATAAATTCAGATAACCACAAGCTTTTAGTAACTTTCAATTTCTGGTATAATGTTAACTAGTATTATTGTACATTTCTATGTTTTTTTTGCTAGACGATAAGCATTTTCCTTTGTATATTTTTGATGAAAAGTTTCTTGAAATACTCCTATGTATCGTATTCAGTATACGTTTGAATAATGCTTTGTAGAGCCTCTAGAAATCCGTTTATTATGCCTTGAAGTCCTAATAGATCGATACCAACAAAAAAATCTTCCCACGTTATCTATATAACTCATTCCAATTTCTGTGAATGAGTAAAAATCTATGCATTACCATTAACTAAGGGGGGTTTAAGACCATTTTAAGATTATTGTGACAAGATATCTTCAGTATATTTATCGACATGAAATAAATTGTATTAAACGTTATCATAACTACTTCGTTTCAGAATTTTGTTAAATAAATTTCAGCTCCATCACCACCTGTTGCTGTTGGCGCTTTTCTTTTGGAGACCAATGATATTTTGATTAACTGGACTTGCTCAAATGAATCCTCATCAGTATTAAAAAATCCACAGTATATGGTCTGTTGGCACTTTCACTCCTTTATTTCTGAACAAAAATGTTTGCTCACTCAGACATCAAACAAAAAGGAATTAGCATACTGTTACTGTGACCAACAACAACAATTTCAATGGGTAAATATTTAGTATTTGTGAAGCATCTGTTGTCCCTTTTCAATCTATAGAAGTTTTTTTGTGTGTATATTTACTCTAGTTTTTCTATACTTATTAACAGCATATGCAAGTAAGCAATTTTGAATGATTTTCATAATTATGATCCTACTAAGTTACTCTGGGTGACATGGCTCAGAATCGATTACACTGGCGTAGATGCATACACTTTGTCTTCCCTTAGATCTTGAGATTAAAATTGCTTTATACCTTTCTTTCTACGAACTAATTCTTTCTTCCTGTATTATATCCTTATACGCAATCTTTTATATATTACTACCATTGAAGTAACTACTATAAATTCGGTGATCATCTTGTGCTAATAAGGTGTGGCAACTTGGACCGATGCATATATGTGCTCGGTCCTACGTTGTAGCTGACTGACTAAGTTATTCATGCTTCAGTTTCGTAGTAAACTGTAGGCCACAACTTTTAGATGCATAGATATTATTACCTGGTTCTTCATTTTTATGTAATTAAAGAGAAACCTGAACATATGAATTAGTAGTTAAAACATGTATAGTCTTATCAAAAAACCTTTTTTGTAAATATAAATATTTTTTAAATTTTTTATCCACCGTAAAGGAAGTCTTACATTTTTTTCTCAAAATCAAGTCTACCATTCAGATTATCATGTCCTACTTTTATTCGTATAGCTCCTATTTAGTGTAAAACATCATTCAAAACATCACACTTTACCATTGTACTATCGACAAAGCTGATTAGACATAAACGATGTACAGACTGGTTTAATTTTATTCTCACCTAATTTGTCACATGTGAACAGCGAGAAGAAACTTCTCAAGCCAATGGTAGTAAAAACTAAACATCATTATTAAAGTTCGGACGGAATGAATAGAATTGAGAGGTGAAATGTGTAGCGTAAATTTATCGGAAGTTATTAAAGTCGAAAAAGCAATAACGGTATGTATATACCACAAAAAATTGAGTCATAAGTTATTCGGTGCTTGTCAGTTTCAAACATTAGTAGACTAACATGAATGCTCTGGAGTCTTCATTCTTCTACGAAATATGATATGTTTATTCTGTCATATTTCCTACTCGCTTGAACCGAGGGAGATTGTTTTTAGGGAAGTTCATTTCAGTGCTTGACTGACGAGGCACTGTAGGTTTCTCGTGGTAGCCCTTGACGAAAGCGTAGGTTCATACTCCGATCATTATTTCGAGACTCTGTAGTTGGCCGTTGATTAAATTCGAAACTCCTTAACTCGCTAGGTGAACCCTCTGTTTTCACCGATTCAGCTAGGATATCATTGAACAGCTTCGATACCTCTTTGTAAACATCCTTGTCATCAAAGTGCGGTATGTATAACGTCTGTGGAAGAACCAATGTAGGTACGTACCGGGTTGTACGTTGCGTCTAATTAACTGAATGTAGGAGTTATTAGTATTTGATTGTGTGGGGTAATTTTAGTATGCTTTCGATCACTCCATAGCTTTTGGAAGCATCTTTATTCCATATCAAGCCGCCATATTTCTTTCTGAATACCCATGCAACAATTTCGACCGGAAACCCAGTTTTTTAAATGGTTGTTATCTAACGAATCTTTTCATGAAAAAGTTACAGAGTACCAAGACAGTAATAGAAATGGCTAGATAGAATTTATGAACAAATAAAATAAAGATGAAAGCGGGGAGATAAACAAGATAAGGAACTAGTAAATGCAACTACGTTTGTCTTGTTTTACAAACTTGCTTTACGTAGAAAGATAAGAGCTGTTTACAGAAATCTCTTTTACTGCCGTGCATGTTTTGGTCCTGTCCGCTGTATGACTTATTTAATACAGTTTTAACGAAATTAGTCATTGGATTTGATCTTCTTTCATAGTTACAGAGGGAAATACTCAAAAATGCGTTAGTTCTATACCTTTTAATCATATACGAACGAAAACTAACGCATTCATCTTTTGATCATATGGGATTATGTGGCTTGGAATTGGTGAAATAATATCAACTGTAGTAGACGTTGATGTTGTAGTCCGCCAATTTCGCGTATATCGTCGCTAGGTACACATCTCTATTCGTTTTTGATGGGCAGCTTCTTTTTTTTTTTTTTACAAATTTTGGGGATCAGTAAAGTATTATTAACGATTTTCCAACAGATTTGGGTCGCACAGACAGTTGGATATTATGTTAAGTAGATGTACGGGTCAACAGGCAATAATACCTAGTAGACAAGATATCGTTCCAATTCTTCGGTCGGTGTTCTCAAAATTTTTTGTGCATCGTTTGATCATAATTGTTTTTGTTGACGTTTTAATCGAGGATAATCAGACAGGTCTTATTTCTTGTCTTAAAGTATTTTCTGAACCTAACTCTTACGTGAATGAACCATCCGTATCTATTTTCAGACTGTTATTCCATTGTCCGTGTTTAAAGAAGCAAAGTCTGGTCGAATTATCTTTACTATTCGATCCAGTATCTCTCAAACAAATTGTACTGATTACGTAAACTGCGAGATACAAAGTGAGAACTCAAACGAAATAAGTTTAAATCTGTGTAAGTATTTTCAAACTTTATATTTATACTGTTTTTTTTTCAGTACACTCTACCTTGCTAAACGAAGTTGAAATGTCTATCAAAAGCATTTAAATTTCTTACATTCATCATTGAAATCAATATTCGTTTCATCCAAATATTGAAGCTTCCTTGAAACACTTCACTTAGTGCTGACATTGACCATGTTTAACACTGTCATTTCATTCGTATAGTTTTATTTATTTACATTCCATATAAATTTAATTCACTTTTTTTTCGTTTTAGCTTCTTCTACACGAAGATATCTTCATACAACTCCGAAATATCATCTCAAGTTAGATAATATTGCAATTGTTGGGATAGTTTCTATTACTCTTCTGGTTTTCTTCTGCGTGATAATTGGTGCATGCTTTGCCAAGTGCGTTTTTGTTGAATTTATTCAATTAATTTTTCAGATATTTAAGAAAATCCGATTGAGTTAATGAAAATTTTGCTAGTTTGTATCATCCCCGTAAACTTTTTTCTCTTTCCTACAACCATTATGACTTAAAATATCATGAAGTTAATTTTTCCTAATTGTAACACCATATTTTCTTACTTTTTTTAGTCGAGTTCATTGTTTTCTTATCATGTGTCGTGATACGGGTTCTTGTTATCGCAAAACCGATATATCAACTAAATACAAACGTATTACACCATTTCATCTAAGTAAAAACACATACAAAGCTATTTCAAGCAAAGAATTTCGTGCCCATGTTAATGCTTGCCATGCTGATGATGATGCTGGATTTCAAGCAGAGTTCGAGGTGAGTTATTTGATGATCTAAACCTGTTAGCACTTTGGTAGCTGGGATTCATTAAATACACAGTTGGATTTTGACCTTCATTGACATTATGTATCTTCAATCTTTCAGAATTGAATTCAGATCTATTCACTTTTGTTACATACAGATAGATGTCACTGTTAACATTGAAAGAAATCTTTCTATCTAACCACGTTTATTGCTTAATTTTCCATTGTTAATAAGTGCAACTAAATAACATATACAAATAAGTAACCATATCCCAGGCTTTTGTGTTTGTTTTTGAACCAACCCATAACCTATTAAAGTTTTGTGTTTGTATCGCTAAGTCCTATCTCCATATTCATAAATACATTCTCAATTTCAGAAAAAATTATACATTATGTTTGTTTTTATGAGAATTGAACATATTTTGATGGAGTGGCAAAGCTTTACTCTAAACCAAAGCCTTACCGGAAACCGGTCACATTTATAGGGTGCGATGGCTTAGTGGCTAAACTAATTAACTTCTTACAGTTGTGCTGTATGTCCGAATCCCGTTTTATCTTCTTCAATTTAGCGTCAGTTAACATGTGGCTCGAAAATGAGTATATAAAACTGCTTGGTAAATGATTAATTAATTCTACTGAACCAACTTCAACCTAGACAATAAATTATTAGCTTTTCCAGATGTAATTAATTCGTTTGCTTATTTCGTATCTTTATTTGTAATCATACTTCTTACTATCAAAGTATCGAAATTTCTTTTTTCAATTAGTCGTTAGAACAAAATGTGCAAACAAACTGGTCAACTTCCGTTGCTCGTTCTTCAGAAAACATAGCCAAAAATCGATACTCCAACATTTTGGCTTGTACGTCCTTAATTGACTTCTTTAATGTTTAAATTATCTATGTATTTTGATAGTCGTTGTATATTAATACTAATATTAACACTTTTCAACTCTATAAACTTGAGAATATAGTAGATCGTTTATCTGAGTTTATAAATTCACATGGGTTTTCAATTGTCTTGTCATAGGAAATCGTTCGCTGCAAACATTTCAGTGTCAAATTATTAGTTTCTCTGTTAGTGTTCATAGGATATCCACCAGTGAAGTGTAGTCCTGTACAGTACTTCATTAAGATTAGACATTCTGTATTCCTGTAGTGTATGCTCTTGTAATGTTACAAATCTAAAAAAAGCGTTTATTTGACTATATATTATATCGTACATGGAATGAGTCGGAATTGATAGTTACCAACTTGAAGTTAGTCTTTCTGTATTGAAATAGTTTGGTTGTTATTGGCTAATAAAATAAATGCCAGAATTCTGTCATCCTTCCATTACACATACATTTTTGTAAATAGTAGCGCTTTATGATTTGAAATGGACAGTTTTGTACCTTTCAGTCTAACATTATAATGATCCATAGAGTAAGTAAATATTCATGGAGTTTCACTTCGAATCTATCAATGCGTTGACTTTTTTTCTGATTGCAAGAAAAATGATCTATCATAATTTTATTGTTGATAGTCAACATTTTATAATAGTACATTGGAAACGGGTGAATAAAATAATTTCATTACCTAATACTTTGATGTACAACAGTTTGTATATATTAACAACGTTCAATCAAAACATCTGAAAGGTTTTAAGGAAACACTGTTGAATAAAACAGCATGACAGAGAGTAGATTCATCTGGACATTTGTGTTGACAATTACCGACTTCTTTATATTAACGATAATCCTGATAATTTGATGCGGCTTTTTAAAAGTTCGTAAGCTACTTTCTGCTAATATGTAAGTAGTATGTTTCTTAAAATGCTCATTTAAATACTTTTCAAAGATACTCTTTATACCGTGTTTTAAGAACTTCATCGCTTTTTTTTGGAAGTTTTATTTGTGTTATATTTTGATATTTTAGATGATCATTCGAGAGTTATACTTAAGGAAACAGGCAGTAAAAGTGATTATATCAATGCAAATTATGTCGATGTAAGTGTAAACTACTTATTAATAACTTTCGCTTTTAATAAAAATTACTAAACCTCTAACAACTTGTTGATAATACTGTCGTCATTTCGATTTTGTTGTTTGTAATATATCTCACTTATTACTCACCTGCATGATGCATATTCACTTGTTCTCGTATTCTTGTCAGTCAGTCAGTTACAACGTAGGACCAGGCACATACATACATCGGTCCAAGTTGCCACACCTCATTAGCACAGCAAGACGAACACCGGATTCACAGAAGCAGTTAACTCAATGGTGTAATATATAAAGGAAGGATTTTATGTAAGGATATAGTACAGAAAGAAAGAATTTGTTCGTAGAAAGAAATATATGAAGCAATTTCAATCTCCTAGTTTAAGGGAAGATAGAGAGTATATACACCGACGCCATTGTGATTGATTCTGAGCCATGTTACCCACAGTCTCCAACCATTGATTATGATAGTTGCGCGGACCCCAACCAAGTAGTCTGCATCTACCAACATGGCTCAGACTAGAAGTTAGTGACTTCAAGCACTGATGCCATGTTTTGGTTTGGCCGCCCCTAACTTTCTTCCAACCATTTCCAACACCGGTTAGCATTGCGCATCGTGGTGATCAGTGTTCAGGCATATATAACACGTGGCCTAACCATCTCAGCCGGTGAAGATTCATAACGTCATCAACTGATTTACCATCATTCCCTAATACCCTACGTCTAACCTCACTATTACTTACCCGGTGATCGCAGCAGATGCGAGCAATATTTCTAGGGCATCTGTGGTCAAATACTAGTAGCTTACGAGTATCTTCTACTCTTAGTGGCCATGTTTCGCAGCCGTAAAGTAAAACAGAACGAACTGCCGCGCAGTATACTCGTCCCTTAATTGATAGACTGATATCTCGCCTTCGCCACAAGTGACGTAAGTTAACAAAAGCTAGACGAGCTTTTCCAATCCGTGCAGAGATTTCGTCAGACACCAACCCATTAGGGCTGATCAGACTCCCAACATAAGTGAAGTTGTCAACGCGTTCGACTACTTCACTCCCTATTCTTAGTTCAGGTGTTGACCCAGACCAGTCCTGAAGCAACAACTTGCATTTAGAGGGAGAGAAGCGCATTCCAAACATTCTGGCATTGTTGCTTAGTGCTACCAGAAGACTCTGCATTTTATCAGCGTCTTCACCAAACAGGACTATGTCATCTGCGTATTCTTAGTGGACCTCCAGTAAGGAGATCAACGTCTGAGAATTCGGTGGACGAGAATGTTGTTTCCATCAGTATGTGTATGATGAAGTTAAACAAAAATGGAGAAAGTGAACAGTCTTGACGGACATTACCTGAGTTCGCCATAAGCTCTCACTCGATTAGTAGTGTTCGAGTAAAGAGACCTCACAAGGTTTATGCACTTCTGAGGTACACCTTCCACTGGCAGAAACTATCACAAAACCTCTCGGTCTACAGAATCAGATGCTGCTTTTAAGCCAAGAAAGACTATGATTGTCGGGCGCTGATAAGTATGCCTGTGTTCTAAAACCTGACAAATGATGAATATGTGGTCGATGCAGCCACGACCTTGTCTGAAGCAAGCCTGATTTTCTTGTGTTTGCAGTTCACGAGTCTTAGTTAGGCGCTCGATAATTATTGAGGCTAGTATTTTAGATACTGTGCTAGTCAAACTAATCCCTCTATGGTTATCACAGGATGATTTTGACCCCTTCTTATATATCGGGACAATAAGTGATTGCGACCATTCAGATATCAGTTTTTATCTAAAATATTAGTCAACCTAATAGCTAAAATTGGACCACCATAATTAAAGACATCTGAAACCAATTCATTTGGACCAGCTGCTCTTCCTCGTTTCAGGTTTTTTATAGACTTTTGAACTTCAGCTAGGGTCGGGGAACTTCTTCAATGTTCCATTCTTGCTGTCTGCGAGTTTTGAGTAGTTGTCGAGGAGATGAAGGCCAGATAAACTGTTCTATAAAGTGTTGCTCCCCATCGTTCTAAACGTCTGAACTGTGAGCAAATAAGTGTCGTCTTTTCCCGAGATATTCTCACGCTTGATTTTTTAGTTCCAGTTTCTTTTACGAGTCTGAAGAGCTGTCTTGTGTTACATATAGCCGCCGCCTTTTCCATTTCTTTTGCTTTCGATGCCCACCACTGCTCACGGTCGTTCCCTAGACGTTTACTTAATCTAGATCTGATTGGCTTTCGCTCATCATCGTGTTCACAGCCTTATGGGATGAGTTTACGAAAATCCATCAGTGCAAAAGATGTAGCAGAAATCCACTGGTTTTTCATGACCTTTTAGTTCAAATCACTGATAGATGTCACTGCTGTTTCCACAGCTGATTGTATATCTTTCCAAGCAACATCTGGGTCAGCCTCGTTTTCAGAACTACCCAAGTGTGATCTCAGTTATTCCTTGAATCTACTTTCGTTTTTCTCATCACTCAATTCAATTCTAATGAGTCTTCTTAATGTGGCTTTCCTGCGTCCAGTGAGGGACAAGCAGATGCGTGCGCGTATTAGAGCATGGTACTCACATACTTCTAAAACATAAGGTCTACAAAACCCAATGTCTAAAAAGACAGATTCAAGATTAATTTTGAATGTTCATTTACGTATCTCTCGTTTCATTTCAACCGTGTACTTGCTATTTTTTGTGAACACACGAAAGCTGATTCGCTTTGTAAGATCCTTTTCTTTCAAATCAAATGGAAAATAATACGTCCTAAATTGCCCTCGATTGGTATTTTGTCTCTTTCTGTTACTTTCCTTAATATATCTGAATCTATATCTAACATAGCTATGTAGTTCGGTATATAACTTTTTAAAACTCGTGCATGTGGAATCCACTCTTTTCCTCTGAAGCCCCCACATAACATTTTTTAGTGTATTTTTTTAGGGCTCTTACTACCGCCTTTACATAACAAAGGTAAGCGTTTCTCAAAGGGTTAGAATGTCCTAAAGGTTATCTGATACTTGAAATAAATCAGCGAAAATAAAGGGTCCTGCTTATAAGTCCTATGGCGTAGATGATCTACAGAATCTTAGAAAAGTAGCAATTTCTTTTGCTCACTACCACGAGAAAATCTCAGTACTTTGTAAATTAGAAGCTCACATCCTTTGATTCCAGTCGCTAAACAATATAGTAAACTTCACAGAATTCATTATATATTCATGATGAGGAATACATATATAAGTTTAGCGAGGGCTTGATATTCGTATTCTCAAATTAGAGTATTAATAACAACTAAAACAAATGAACATCTTGTTAACTACTTCCTGTACAGTCTCCTGTTATTTTATACCTGTTAAATTGCATATTTTGACTTCATTGCTATATTTTTGTCATTTTGGAAATAAGCTATTTGTATCCTTCATACTTTACATAATATTTTTTGTTTTATGCAGGGTTATCATCGTCGAGCAGCATATATCGCTGCACAAGGTCCTATCCCGTCTACTTTCGATGATTTCTGGTTGATGGTATGGGAGCAAAATAGCAACGTCATCGTTATGATATCTAACTTCGTTGAACGTGGTCGTGTAGGTTTATCAGACAACGATTTACTAGTTCTTACTTCAGTGATTTTTGTAAAAGTTGTTTTCTATTGTTTTGATCTATTCTTCGAGGGTAATTTTCTTTGTTTTGGAGATCCTCACAACCTTCATTGTACTTATTCTATTTACTAGAATTACTTTGATTTTTTATTGAGATCATTCATGTGAATTTCTCTAATTATGATGACATTTTGCCTTTATTTCGTTCTCAATTATAGCGTAAATGTGACAAGTATTGGCCCAGTTCAGGTCACCAAACGTATGGAACGTTTCAGTTCGTATGATTTCTGAAGTTGTTCGGGCTTTCTTCACTATCCGAGTGTTTACTGTTCGACATATCAAGACTAAACGTGTAAATTTCAATTTTTATTTATACGGCTAATAGTTTCAAGTTTTTTGAAATGAGATTTTTCATTTCATTGTGATTTTAAAAAAATTGGATAAAATAAACGAAAATATGCGAATTCGTTTTTAGAAGTAAATTCGTATAGTTCGATTGATCTTTAGTTTGAAATTCTATGTTGTGTATGAAATAAGTAACTGGTTGGTTACTACTATAGTACAAAATTTAATGTACGTAATAAACTAAACCACTTATAATCGTGGTACATGTCGTTAGATTCTATTTGTTGATTGATTAAATTATTATGAACGAGTTTTCACGTACATTTGTTGCCATTGCATGTCCATTTCACTCAACATCTCTGTCACAAACGTACGTTAAGTGTCCAGTAGACTCCGTCTACCTAGTGATTTCTTACATTTTACAAATTTATCTAGGTATTCACTTCAAGTAATGAGACGTATTATATATTTTTTTCTAGGGTTCTAAAGATCGTTTAGTTTATCACTATCAATACACAGATTGGCGAGATTTTGATGTACCTCCTTCCCCTCTTCCGGTTCTGAAGTTCGTAGAAGCCTCGGTCACGCATTGGACATTTGACAAAGGTCCTATTGTTGTCCACTGCAGGTACTTTTTCTGCCTTTGGTAAATACTGTTTAATACATGTTGATGCAGTGAAGTCGTTTTCAGTATATGGTTTGCTCTAATAATAAAATGTTCACCAACTGACATTTTAAATACCTAAGTATGCATTAAATCTTTTTCCTTTAATCTCAATTTTTCTAAATGTTAGCGCTGGCGTTGGACGAACCGGTACTTACATCTGTATCGAAAGTTTGATACGGCAGCTAAAGGTAGAACAAGCTGTTTCTGTTCGGGGGTTCCTGGAACACATTCGTCAACAACGCATGAAACTTGTCCAAACAGAAGTAATTATTATTATTTTTTACCGTACCTATTTTTCGTACGAACCCTGATTTCCATAAATAGCTTTTACTCAGCTAGTTTTATGATTTATTTTTTCTATGATACTGCGTTTAACACCTTTGACATTGTAATTACTTCTATGGCGGTCAGTTACTCTCGTTATGATTATGCGACAACACGGTTTGTTACATGAGAAGCGGGAAGAACCAAGAGATACTAATAGTGATGCCTACATTAATACTCAGCTTTGTACGGAGGAAGGCGTTTAGTGTATATGGAGACCAGTAGCACTTGCAGTAGCGCCTGTATGGATAAAAAGTGGTGAGATTATTCAGACATACGCCTTCCTAGATAGCGGATCAGACACCTCCCTCATAGTTGATAATCTAGCTGATAAGTTAGGTCTCGAGGGAAAACCGAAAATGGTATCTTTAAAGTCTCTTAGTAATGAATCGTCGTTGGTATCCAAAGAGGTCGATGTAGAGTTGCACTCGATAGATTTTTCGTCATCCGTTAAGGTACAGAAAGTGTTGACAGTCAGAAAACAACCGGCAGTATACAGGACTGTGCCATCGGCGCATCAAATGGTATCCTGGTCCTATTTAAAAGACATAAGTTTTCCGAGAGTAGAAGATGAAGATGTCAAACTGTTAATCGGGTGTAATGCATCGGGCGTACACAAGATGAAAGAGATAAGAACCGGAAAGACGAGTGAACCGTCTGCTGTTCGGCCCTTACAGAGAACCCCGTGAAAGCAACCACGTACTTAATTGCCTCTCGGCTAAGGAGGAATTAGAGGATAAGTTTGAACAATTGTATTCAACTGAATTCAAAGACCCATTTAGTCGTAATCCATCGATGTCTGTGGAAGATCGTATAGCATTCAGCGCAAAAGTTAAATGGGCACTATCAAATAGCTCTGCCTTGGAGGCACAAACACAGGTTACCTAATAATAATAAATCAGCAGAACATAGAGTCAGCTGTTTGAAAGGTCGACTTATTCGGGATATAATGTTGCTCCAATACTATGTGAACACCATGACTTGGTATATAGAACGAGATTATGCTGAAAAAGTAAACGATAACTACTGTGATGGACTATTCTGGTATCTTCCTCATCACCCTGTCTTCCATCCCAAGAAGCCTAACAAGTTAAGAGTAGTGTTCGATTGTGCAGCTAAGTATGCTGGGACGTCTTTAAACAAGAATATTTATTCTGGCCCTGATTTAGTCAACAACTTAGTAGACGTTTTCACCAGATTTTGGCAACGACCAATAGGTCTAACGGCAGACGAAGCCATGTTCCATCAAGTATTGTGTTGGCCAGGTGGGAACTTAGAAAAAGAGCCAGTATCGTGTTTACGGTTTTAGTAGTATATCTGTGGGACAAATTAAATCCTACACGGTTATTATCAATGAATTAGTAATTCACTCATTATTCTCTTTATTTTCCTTATTATATTGATTATCTAGCAACAATATGCTTTTATTCATGACGCATTACGTGAGTATATTCTTTATCCGTATCATTCAATTCGTCCGCTGGACTTCAGTGATTACTTGCGACATTTATATGAACTAGATTCAACAGGTACATCCAATTTAATGAAACAATTTGAAGTAAGTGTTTACCTGACAAATGGTGGTTGTATTTCATTACTCAGAATGCGTAATATTCATTCATGAATCAGTTATTTAAATGAGTATTTCAGTCACGTTAGTATTACAAAATTAATATATTGTTTACTACTTGATTAACTCATTGTAAGAAAATTCTTTTTTATTTTCCCAAGATGTGTATGGATTTCAGATGTGATTCTGCCAGTTCTTTGCACAGTGGAACCCTGACTGTTGATCAAACGAAATTACCCATGTGTACAAGTAGGTACATTGTTCTTTCAATTTATTTATAAGTTAATCACGTTTTCATGAAATCTGATTACATATGAGAGCATTCACAAATCAATCAACTGCCTTAGTGCTATAAATTAACAAAAACAACTTGGAGGTTGACTTACTTGTGTTGTCGAGATTCAAGAAGTTCGTGTATCTAGGTAGCGATATAAGTGCCGGTGGGGGTATGAGTAATGAGATCAATTCACATATAGTGAAAGCCAGAGCGGCTTATGCCAATCTGGGACACCTTCGCTGCTTTCGTGACGATAGTCTGGCTGTAAAACTTCGGATCTACAACGCATCGGTGAGAGCAGTTCTGCTCTATGCTTGTGAAACCTGGCCTCTCCGAGTTGAGGACGTTAGACGACTCTCTGTGTTCAATCATCGTTGTCTCCGAAGGATTGCTGACATTCAGTGGCAACACTATGTCAGTGATGCAGAGGTTCGGCATCGTGTGTTCGGGCTCGGTGACCATAATCTAATTGGTGTCACCATCTTGAAACATCGACTTCGGTGGCTTGGACATGTTCTACGAATGTCGTCCTAGAGAATCCCACGTCGTGCATTATTTGGCGACAATGGGATTGGTTGGAAAGAGCGGAGGGGTGGTCAGTGTATGACATGGTGTCGTGGTATGAAAGAAATCTGCAAAGAGCTGGCTTCTGTTGGACCTTCTCAACTCCCTGGTTGGGGTCCGAGAGATGGTGTAACACAGTGGCTAGAGACGTTATCAGATATGGCTCAGAATAGAAACCAGTCGCGATCCTGCTGTAACTTGATTTTACTTTCTTCATGAAAAAAGACGTAACTTCCTTAACTCAAATTCTTTCTGGTTGTACCGTTCCGTTTCCCCATTATTATTATTATTATTATTATTATTATTATTATTATTATTATTATTATTATTATTATTATTATTATTATTATTATTATTATTACACTACCATACACTAATCTGTGGTCGTCATTGTTCTCTTTTTTTCCTTTCTCCCTTACACGCGTCTCACATTCTTTTTCTCTTCTCATTCTCACTGTTATTGTGTGGCGCATATGTATCCGGTGCATCCTTGTATCAATATTTGTGTTCAAATAAATAAATAAATGTTTGTGCAACAAATCATGCTGTGACATATTAGCGACTGATCAGATTACTTTGGAGAACTAACTTATGTTAAATTCTAATTTTTTTTTACCATGTTTTGATTGTATGTATCCATAATTATGTTTCTTCTAGGTATTACTGATGGTTCAGGCATTGATTCATCCGTTCTTCATGGTTTTCTGAATGTTTGTGAGTATATAGTTACTCGTCATCCTTTAGGTAACAGTGTAACTGAATTTTGGAAAGTAGTTTGGGACGCTAATTCTTCTTTAATTGTATGTTTGTCTGATCAAAATTTGTTACCATTTTGGCCTGATGAAGTTGAACAAGTTAGTTTTCCTTTTTGTAACATTATTAAATAACATTCATGCTTTTAATAACTAATATAGCCTTCAAATGCCCTGCTACGGCCGAGAGTGGGGTGGGTTTCCCCTCCCTATCGAAATACTCTCACACGGCCACGCGTATATAGCCTCTGCCAGGGGAGTCCTACTCACTGCCTTCTCGTGGCAGGGGTGTTGTTTACGAAAATGAGAGGACGAAAACCAAATGTCCGGCGTTTCAACTGGATCCCAAACCAATGGTGTACATGGGCTCCAGTACAAATGGCGTATGAACCAATTGTTGGTCACCGGCTACCACGGGAGTGCATCTCCTTACGATGCTCCACTGCCTTGTGAATCAGACTTTCAGGTCGAAGGCTTGGGGTGTGGCCTCCTAAGAAAACCACCTGCTTCGGTTTGGGCACCCGGGTAGTATCACAGCCCTCACACGTATCGAATGAGATTTGTGTGGGGCATATGTATTTTTTGCCTCCTTGTACCAATATCTATGTGTTAAAATAAAATAAAAAATATAGTTACTATAGATCTTTCTGTATTTTTCGATTTCCTTTAAGAAATTCACCCATGGTTTATAATTGTCAGCTGTATTGTTTGTATGTATTTGCTAATTATTGTTTACATCCCCAGGGGTATATTCTTTAATATTGTGAATCAAATTAAACAATAGTAAATGTTAGAAATCAATGTATAAAATCGTACTTTTGCAACTGAAATAGGATATTTTGGTGATTTGTTTTTTATACAGTCCTGTATTATTTACGTATGAAGCGAAGTGAAAAGTTGGTAATTTCTTTTAAGAGAGAAATCTACTTGATCATAGGACAATATGCCGAGTGTATGCAGTTCTCCGGAATTCGTTTTTATAATTGCTCGTGCTTAGAACAAACGTGAATAAGCTGCTTTGTAAATTTAAACTCAGAACTTCTATCTGATAAGTCTTCTAAATGAACACTGGATTCGGTTTCACAGCTCTTTTAGTAACCCCCATATTAAATCTACACAGTGACTTGAACACGAGGAAAGACGCGAAATATGGAAGAAACGCTTTACTTCAAATGTTCGTTTATGTACGTAAAATCTGGGGTATTTATATTATTTCAGATGGCTTTGAGTTTCCGGAAAATTCTAGAACGCTACTAAGCATAGTAGCAGTATAGGTAATCATAGAATCAGAAATTCGACTTGTGACTTTTCTTCCTAACTGTTTCTGGCAAAACTTCTAGTGAATGCTGATTGGATATGATGCTTCTCAGTGTTTTGGCTTTTTTGAGGAGTTTTCTGGATCTCCCCAACACCTCCCACCTTTCAAAAAATAAGACTTTCGGGTCTACTTACATCTTGACAACTGGTTTTCTACGACGCTCGAATTTTCTGGGTATCCAATGTCTATGAGTGTCTGTTGGGGTTCCTGCCGTTAGAGTATCTGTAATTATCTCTAGCGGAAAACTCACTCGACTATCTACCATCCTTAGAGTCCTTTATTTTCCATGTATTTGATTGATGTGTCTAATCCACGTTACGAAAGTCCAACGCTTTTATACAAACAATATTTTTGGAACAACAATTCTGTCACCAAAGATGATACATGAATCAACCATCGTGAGTGAATCCCGTCGGCGAATATGTCGTACCATTTCTCCTTGAAAACGACGGTTCGGCCACTTAGTGAGAAAACAACCACTAACTTTACTTAATGTCTTGCCATTTTCTGTGGCTTCTTTGATAGCTTTAAAAGTAACTGGTAAACCATCGTCTGCATATTCCAATACTCGATGTACTTTTGTTTCCATCGCAATCGCTGCCACCAACGTATCTTCTTCCCGTTTCACTTATGAACCAATCAGTCTAGATAAAGCGTCAGCTTGTCCAAAATCTGTAATGAGCTGGTACTTGATCTTGAAGTCATAATCCAAGAGCGTACTTCCCCACCGTTGCAGTCTGTTTGCTGTGTATACCGGGATACCTTTCTTCGACCCAAAAATGAATAGTTGTAGTTTATGGTCAGTTAATAGAGTGAACTGGCGTCCGAATATCATCTTGTGAAACTTCTTTACAGCGAAGATAATCGACAATGCTTCCTTCTCGGTCTGACTGTAGTTGAGTTCTGTTGTAGTTAACAATATGGCTTTCTCATCCATCTGGCATGATGTGAGAAATAATTGCTTCAATGTCGTAGTTTGAAGCATCTGATGATGCTACAACGCGTAAAGATGAATCGTAATGGGTGGGCAACAGATCGGAGACTAGTATTTTCTTGATTTCATCGAAAGCATCTTGGCAAGTTGCAGACCAATCCCATTTCACATTCTTCTTCAGAAGGTTAGGAATAAAAGCTCCTTAATGACTAACTAGTCCCAAAATGGATAGTATTGTGTGGACATCCGTCGGTCTAGGCATAGTTTTCATTGCCTCGGTATTCTCTGGATCTGGTCTTTCACCATCTTTGTCGATTATAAACTCGAGGTAGCATACCTTTTGGATACAACAGTTACATTCCTTTGCACGGAACTGAAGTCCATATTCGACTATACGTGACAGCACCTGGTTGAGCTTCTTTTCTAAGTCTATTCTATCTACTCTCAGAATTATTATATCATCCAGATAAGTTGCAGCACCTGGAACATCCTGTAGCATGTTATCCATTACTTGTTGAAATATGGATGAGGCCCCCTTGACTCCGAAAGGTAATCGATTATACTGGAACAGGCCCTTGTTTGTGTTTATGGTGAGCAAGTCTTTACACTCATTAGCAACATGAATTTGCGAATAAGCTTCCGCTGAATCCAACTTTAAAAAGAGCTTACCTCCATTCAGTTTAGCAAGAAGATCTTCAGGTTGGGTTAATGGATACTGATGAGCTTCTAGGGCTTCATTTAGCCCGGTTGAGTAATCGGCACATAGACGAACTCTACCATTAGTCTTCTTTACTACCACTATCGGTTCAGCCCATTCTAAGAAGTTCACCGGTTCATTAATCACAGACTTTGTGTATTATATTCCATAACTAGTGAGGATTTGGAGTATCGTATTTTGCGAGCCTAATCAGCTGTCGACCATAGTAAACAAAAAATGATTGGTGGAAATTTTTTCTCAGTAAACTTGTTTTATTATGGATATTCTCCTGGGAATAATATTATTCCTCATTTGAAGTGACCTTAATTTTCTATATGTCAGTAGTAGTCTAGAAATAACAGTAGATGTTTGTTACATTCTCTGGCACTCCGTTCATGAACTACCATACACATTGGATGCATATATGTACTTTCGTGTTCATCATTTGATTGCTATTCGAATAAACACTTAATATTTAAATTCTCATTTATCATCATATATTACTCTTTATTTCGTTCAATGTCTATATTTGAATAATCAAATCGTTTTAATTGTAAAGTTTAACTTATTATACTTTTTCTTATTCAAATGACAGACAAGAACAATCGGTTGGTTGCATATAAATTTTGCTCGAATGGATCAGTGCGGTGATTCGTTAGTACGATTTCAATTCTTACTAACATCTGATCGAGAAGATTATGCACTAGCATGTACCCTTTTGCATTTTAATGCATGGCCTTCTATTGATTTAGAAAATCCTCATGAATCAAGGATTGCATCAGATTTACTTGAATTGGCTACACACTTAGCAAATGATAATCCAGAATTCTCTAATTCTTCCGCTCCTATTGTTTTAGTAGATAAGTAAGTTTTCTTTGGTGCAGTTTTACTAATCGTCTAGTTAAAAAGGTGTATTCATGGTAAACAAATAGGGTCATAAACTATTTGGATTCGCTGAATTATTCAATGTAATAATCAATCTGTTTTAAACTAAAGACAGAAGTATTAGTGATCGATTGTTGTAACTTTAAAAACAAGAACAACGATAATGACAACTATTTTAACTACATAGTTATCTTGGAATTCATGTGCTTTCTAGCTGTCAACTCTTCTGAGATATATTTAGTTAATTGATTAACAGTTTGATAGTAAAAGACAGTTATCTCTATTTACGGAAAGTAAGATCAATATGTCTTAAGTGTGGAATCTGTGTATTTCTTCATTTCATCCATCACCTTTACAAATCTTGTTCATTGTTTGGAACGTATAAAAAGTCTGTAAAGTTGTTTATTATACTGAGAAAACCCACTGAAACTTTTTCAATGTGTTTTACGTGACTATTCATTTAATCACAAAATTTAGATGAGATAAAACCCCCAGTAATTTTATTACAAGATGTTGTTTTCCTTTTAATAAATTCTCATTAATTGTTAGTCTGAATGATTGATTATGATAATTACAATATGCAAATATGTAGAAATTCGGTTATCTTAGTCTCTCTTCATCTGGTTATTAAATTGTATAAATAAATATAAAATTAAATAAATATACGTTGCTGAAATATAGAGAAGAGTTTTTATAGTCATCCAATGTGTTGGATTCGAGTGGAGTACGCAAAACTCTGAGAATGATTGTTAACATCTGCCATTAATTTTTACACATATTTGAGTTCTATGTATATGTGATTTAGCATCTGAATTTGAAGTCCCACGTTTCCAGGTTCATATTTATTTTATTTGAAAACATAAATATTGGTACAAGAATGCACCGGATACATATGCGCCACACAAAAATAATGAGAATGTGAAGAAATAAAGACTGTAAGGTGCGTATAATAAAAAAGAAGTACAACAATGAACAAAAATTAGTGTATGTTAGTGAAATAATAATAATAATGGGAGAGACAGTTTAATTAGCAAATGTAAAGCCACAGAGAATTCTTCCACTTAAAGAAGTTACGTCTTTTTTCATGAAGAAAGTAAAATCAAGTTACAGCAGGATCGCGACTGGTTTCTATTCTGAGCCATATCTGATAACGTCTCTAGCCACTGTGTTACACCATCTCTCGGAGCCCAGCCAGGGAGTTGAGAAGGTCCAACAGAAGCCAGCTCTTTGCAGATTTCTTTCATACCACGACACCATGTCATACACTGACCACCCCTCCGCTCTTTCCAACCAATCCCATTGTCGCCAAATAATGCACGACGTGGGATTCTCTAGGACGACATTCGTAGAACATGTCCAAGCCACCGAAGTCGATGTTTCAAGATGGTGACACCAATTAGATTATGGTCACCGAGCCCGAACACACGATGCCGAACCTCTGCATCACTGACATAGTGTTGCCACTGAATGTCAGCAATCCTTCGGAGACAACGATGATTGAACACAGAGAGTCGTCTGTAACTATCGATTATTACAAGTATTGTTACTTATTTACTTACGCCTGTCGCTCCTCGTGAAGGAGCATAGGTCGCTCACCAGCATTCTCCATCCAACCTTGTCCTGGATAATCTTTTCCAGCTCTTTCCAGTTGTAATTCATCCTTTTCATATCTGCTTCTATTTCCCGACGTAATGTGTTCTTAGGCCTTCCTCTTTTCCGCTTCCCTTCAGGATTCCAAGTTAGGGCTTGTCTCGTGATGCAGCTTGATGATTTGCGTAATGTATGTCCTATCCATTTCCATCGTCTTCTCCTAATTTCCTCTTCAGCTGGAAGCTGATTTGTTCTCTCCTAGAGAAGGCTGTTGCTGATGGTATTCGGCCAATGGATGTTGAGCATCTTGCGTAGACACCTATTAATAAATGCTTGTACCTTCTTGATGGTGGTCGTTGTAGTTCTCCAAATTTCAGCTGCATACAGTAGAACTGCCTTGACGTTTTTATTGATGATTCTGATCTTGATGTTGGTTGACGGTTGTTTTGAGTTTCATATGTTCTTCAATTGAAGGAGTGCGGCCCTTGCTTTTCTACTCCTCGCCTTAACGTCTGCATCTGAACCTCCTTGTTCATCGATGATGCCACCAACCAGGTATGTGAAGGATTCTACATCTTCCAGAGTTTCGCCATTAAGAGTGATTGGATTGCTGTTCTCCGTTTTGAATTTGAGGACCTTGGTTTTCCATTTTTGTTTAACTTCATCATACACATACTGATGGAAACAACATTCTCGTCCACCGAATTCTCAGACGTTGATCTCCTTACTGGAGTTCCACTAAGAATACGCAGATGACATAGTCCTGTTTGGTGAAGACGCTGATAAAATGCAGAGTCTTCTGGTAGCACTAAGCAACAATGCCAGAATGTTTGGAATGCGCTTCTCTCCCTCTAAATGCAAGTTGTTGCTTCAGGACTGGTCTGGGTCAACACCTGAACTAAGAATAGGGAGTGAAGTAGTCGAACGCGTTGACAACTTCACTTATGTTGGGAGTCTGATCAGCCCTAATGGGTTGGTGTCTGACGAAATCTCTGCACGGATTGGAAAAGCTCGTCTAGCTTTTGTTAACTTACGTCACTTGTGGCGAAGGCGAGATATCAGTCTATCAATTAAGGGACGAGTATACTGCGCGGCAGTTCGTTCTGTTTTACTTTACGGCTGCGAAACATGGCCACTAAGAGTAGAAGATACTCGTAAGCTACTAGTATTTGACCACAGATGCCCTAGAAATATTGCTCGCATCTGCTGCGATCACCGGGTAAGTAATAGTGAGGTTAGACGTAGGGTATTAGGGAATGATGGTAAATCAGTTGATGACGTTATGAATCTTCACCGGCTGAGATGGTTAGGCCACGTGTTATATATGCCTGAACACTGATCACCACGATGCGCAATGCTAACCGGTGTTGGAAATGGTTGGAAGAAAGTTAGGGGCGGCCAAACCAAAACATGGCATCAGTGCTTGAAGTCACTAACTTCTAGTCTGAGCCATGTTGGTAGATGCAGACTACTTGGTTGGGGTCCGCGCAACTATCATAATCAATGGTTGGAGACTGTGGGTAACATGGCTCAGAATCAATCACAATGGCGTCGGTGTATATACTCTCTATCTTCCCTTAAACTAGGAGATTGAAATTGCTTCATATATTTCTTTCTACGAACAAATTCTTTCTTTCTGTACTATATCCTTACATAAAATCCTTCCTTTATATATTACACCATTGAGTTAACTGCTTCTGTGAATCCGGTGTTCGTCTTGCTGTGCTAATGAGGTGTGGCAACTTGGACCGATGTATGTATGTGCCTGGTCCTACGTTGTAGCTGACTGACTGACTTTCCCGTTGTGTATTTTGAGGCCTACTGATGTAGAGACTGCTGCTACACTGGCTGTCTTTATCTGCATTTGTTCGTGTGTATGCGATAGGAGGGCTAGGTCGTCTGCGAAGTCTAAATGGTTTAATTGGTTCTGGTCTGTCCATTGTATGCCATGTGTTTCCTCAGATGTCGAGGTCTTCATAATCCAGTCGATCACCAGAAAAAGAGGAAGAGAGAGAGAGTAGACAGCCTTGTTTGACTCCGGTCCCTACTTGGAATGCGTCTGTCAGCTGTCCTCCATGAACTCCTTTGCACTGTAGTCCGTCTTATTAGTTCCGGATAATGTTGACAATCTTCTCAGAAACTCCGTAGTGTCGAAGATGTTTCCATAACGTTCTCCTATCTACACTGTCAAATATCTTTTCATAATGAATGAAGTTAATGTATAGTGACGAGTTTCACTCAACTGATTGTTCGACGATGATCCGTAGTGTCTCCATTTGGTCTATGCACGACCGATCCTTACGGAATCCAGCTTGTTGCTCTCGAAGTTGGGTGTCTACTGCGTCTTTCATTCGGTTCAGCAACACTCTGTTACAGACTTTCCCTCGTACAGACAATAGTGTAATGCCTCTGTAGTTTTCACATTTACTCAGATGTCTTTTCTTTGAAATCTTGATGAGATGTCCTTCTTTCCGATGTTGTTGAATTTCAGTGATTGGCCTACCTTCTTTGTTCTTGACCGGTCTCTCTGGTTTACTATATTTGCCTGCTAGTTTCTTCGTTGTATCGTAAAGCTGTTTCATATTTCCTTCTCTAACAGCTTTTTCCACTGTCGTTGATAGTTCTTCCACGTACTTCTTCTTGTCGGTTCTAATGCTCTTCTCCACTTGTTTGCTTGCTTCTATGTATTCAGCTTGTGCTTGGACTTTCTCTGCTCGTGTTCAGCTGTTGTTAATTGCTGTCTTCTTGTTCTTCCTTTCTTTGATCCTGTCCAGTATTTGCATAGAGATCCATTCCTTATGATGGTGTTTCTTTAGGCCCAGAACCTCTTGACACGTTGAAGTTAATGTTTCTTTGATGCCTTTCAGGTTGTCCTCCATAGTAGTTTCTTCTTCTTTCAGTAGATCCTGTAAGGTTTGGAACCTGTTGTTGAGAGCTATCTTGAATTCATTGAGCTTGTCAGTATCCGAAGGAAGGCTGTATTGAACCTTTGTAATGCTGTTTGTCCAGTTCCTTTATAGCTTCAGTTTTAAATTGGCCACAACTAGGTGGTGATCTGAAGCTATGTCAGCTCCTCTCCTGGTTCTCACATCTTCCATTGTTCTTCGGAATTTTTTATTGATGTAAATATGATCTATCTGGTTCTCTGTAGTGTGGTCCGATGAAATCCATGTAGCTTTATGTATACGTTTGTGTGGGGATATTATACCGCCTATGATCAATTTGTTGAATGCACACGGATTCGCAAATCTTTCCCCATTTTCGTTTTTCTCTCCCAGTCAATCCATGTCGTCCCATGATATCTTCATATCCGGTGTTGTCTATTCCGACTTTGGCGTTTAGATCTGCCATCAGAATGGTGAGGTCCTTTCTTGGTCACTTCTCTATGATTGACTGCAGCCTTTCATAGAATTGATCTTTAATGTCGTCGTTGCTATCATTGGTGGGTGCATAACACTGGATAATATTCATTGTGATCCCCTCCTTCTTTGTTTTGAATGATGCTTTGATGATTCTGGATCCGTGAGATTCCCATCCTACAAGTGCATTTCGTGCTATTTTGGACAGATTAGAGCAACCCCTGTGTGTGTGGAGCATTTTCCTCTTCGTGATCGGAGTATAGCAGCATCTCTTCCGTATATAGCCTATGTTGTCCAGCTAGGGTCCAATAGGTTTTGCTGATTCCCAGTACTGACAAGTTGTATTTCCTCACTTCCGTTGCTATTTGACTGGTCTTCCCGGTCTCCCACATTGTTCGGACGTTCCATGTACCTATAAAAATGGTTGTTTTGGACGTTAGAAATATTGTGCAGATCTTAATTCAAAATCCCCGTTCACACAAGACCAGTTAACATGGAAATTTATTTTAGTTTGTTTTGCAATCTGAATATAATATGTATTCAAGTATGTATATCTGCTGATTTACTAATGTTAATTTATGTACTACATAGTAAAATATATAAAAAAAGTATTTAATTAATTTGACTGTTTCAAGGTCAAAGTACATTTTTTGGGCGTTAATTAGTTTATCCACCTGGTATGATTACAAAACAGAGAAGCAGGACAAGTCTTAATATTCTTTTGTATGCATATAATGCCAAAAAGGTTATATTTATGTCTATTATGGCTACTATGTAGTTAATTTTTATTCTTATTATCTGTTCAATACTGCAAATGTTCAACTTTATTGTTTCAGCACTGGAGGTTATCGTGTTGGCATATTTTGTGCAATTCGTATTTTAATTAGCCAATTTTTAAGTGATCTTATACTCGATGTATACTTCGTTTTCAAAATGTTGTGCCTACAACGACCTCATTTATTTAGGGGTTATGTAAGTATTTATTATTATTATTCCTCAACGTTTGCTTTTCACTGTTTAATTGTTAACTTGCTACTTGTCGCTTACAGTTAATTTATTATATTGTAGTACACCTTAAATGAAGATAAATATTATATTATTCCTAGTGGTTTGTTTATATCAAAGCATTTCCTAAAAGTTAATTAAAACATGGAAGTGAGTTATCCATCCAGATGTTTATACAGCTTGACAATATAAGCGAAATGCATGTAATTTCTGAGATTCCTGAACAATAAACAGACAAGTTGCTGCTATTTTCGTTATTCTCCAGGTTATTTGTAATCGAATATTATGTATACAATTTATTGATGATAGAAAATTCTGTCCAGACTACTAACTATTGTTCTCAAATATGTTTCCATGTTTTTAAAAGTAGGACAAAATACAAAATATCGAGATGTTAATGAAAAGGTATATTTTAACGTGACAAATTAAAGAATGCCAAGTGGTTTCCGGATGTTATTTAAAGACGAGCGGGTGTATTTGACTAGGTTATGCACAATTTTTTTTGTTTATAGGTTTACAAGGATAGATTTAGTTATATTTCTGTCTCTAGAGATACCAATTAAATAGCTTTTTTGTTAATAATATACTTTATTTTTTATGTATGAAATATTTAGTGGGATTTGGAATTCGTGTATACTCTTCTGCAGTATTATTTGAAGAATGAATTGTCACCTTCTTGGCAATCGAATTCAATAGGTTCACGTTATGCAACTTTATATTATATGCTAGAAGGACGAGATAATTCCAACAAAGTATCAACCATCGAACAACATACATCTCCTAGGCGAATATTAGGTAACTTATTTTCTAGTCGTCGTCGATTAACTGATCCGAAATGTCAACGTCCTACTCGAAGTAATAACGATTCACTTTTGTTTAATGAAACTACTACTATTAGTCGAAATAATTCTCTTTGTAATCACACTAACTATAATAATTCATTTTTAAAACACACCAGTCAACATCTATGCAACAGTATTAGTAATAGAACCAGCATATTTACGGATCCATATCATCAAGAGGAACCACTTTTATCAAATCATTTTTCAAATCATCGTGGACATGCAGTGTATCGTTTACTGTCAAAACACCAATCTGTTGAATTTCCTTCATTCCAGTCTATTAACAATCATAATAATAACAGTAGAAATTATTTTACTGGGAATCAAATAGAATATCCCACCCTATGATTTACGTATTGTACGTAAATATAAGCGCCGTAAAATAACTTCGTAGCTTCTCCGTTATAATATGTTTGCAATTGTAAATGAGGATCTGTTTTTTAAAAGAACGTTTTATATTTTTTATTTGTTCAATGTTGTTACTTTGTTTACTAGATTACTTGTTTCACTTCTGTTATACCCATGTGCGCTCTTATCTTGAATATATATATCAGCATTTAACTTGATCTGCTTATATTATGTTCTCTATTATATTTTTTCCTGTTGTATTTTACTTTGTTTTAATTGACCTTGGTTATTATGAAGTGTTATTGACATTTACATATTACTTTGTGTGCTTAATATTATCCTAGACAAAAACTAATAATCTAGTCGACAAGTGAAATCACCAATTCATTTTTCAAATGATCCTGGTTAAACTAGGTGACTAATAAGTTTGTTCAACTTACTGCTATTAGGCTTGTTTTTCGTCCTAATGCGGTATAATTATCTCCTGGTATCATATATACCATCGGTAGTCGAGTCGCTGTGAATTATTCATATTTGTGTGTATTGTTTTGATCCCAGACATAGGTATATTGTCAATGGTGTCAAGGATTTTTATTTGTAAATTCTCACATTTCTAGGATAGCAATATTATCTGCGCATTTTGTTATTTATTTCTACTTTCGTTCAATCTAGTTTTTGAGTTTCCTCTTAGATTACTTAAGGTTGTTGATACTGTGAAAAACTATCTCATAACTACTTTCTTTTTTATGAAAATATCTGTTTTACTATTTTTAATTTTAAATAATATAAATTACAAAATCCATTTTGGCTTTTGTTTTTTTGTATGCTAGTTGGTGTCTATTTGTGTTTTCTAATCAGGACTGATAGTTTGTTTGGTTTTATGATGAGTTACGATTGTGAGCTTAATATATCTTTGTGCCGTTAGTGAAGAACGTGAAGAATTTATATTGGTAGTAATATATGCTAAAAGTTACTCTATTTTAACTGTATGATTTGTGCACCGTTTATGTTTTCATATGCAGTTTACAAGTCGGATATAGGTGTGTATTCAATGTGAAGAGAGATATAAATAATCTTAACTGCTGTTTTAGGTTGGTCGCTTTTTACATTAACTTCAATATTTCCATGCAACTAAACATATTACTGTGGAAGTAGATAACGTGTCCTATGTAATTCACATTTATATTTGATATGTTTGTCTTTTTGCTAACAGTATGACAAAGTGATTTAATAATTAATATTTTAATAGACATAATTTCTTCAGTTTTAGGATATTTCAAACATGTCTAGTCGTGAGGCTCCAGCATCTATTTCAGCTATTCGTAATCCAAACAGTCAGCTTGCTGGTCTACCACCTAGACCTCCTCTTTCAGATGCCGCTTTGTTTTCTTTGATTTTAACTGTTCGGGAGGCTGGTCGGCGTTTAGCAATGAGTGATTACGCCATCGCCACAGCTTGCACAATATTACACCGAGCTCTACGTGTTCTCACTACTGGTGATGAACAACCAGTTGCAACACTCGCTACTTCTGGGTCAACAACTGTCAATGGATCTGATTCAGTTTCTGGTTTCGACTCAATCGACCAATCTTTTAAACATAGCTTGGGAGATATCGATGCACATGTAAGGTCTTTATTTACTCTTTGAAAATATGTTATTAAAACTATCATATTTTACCAAACCAATCATTTAGTACATGACTGAACTAATTCATTTTTCCTTTTTACTGTCCACTAACTAATTTCTTTGTAATGATTTTAAAATTACTAACTTCTATGACTTAATTTTCTGATATATTCATTCTTTTTCCTACTCACTTTTCTTATTATTCTTTTTCTAAAAATGGTGTAAAACAGGTGTCTTTTTATCTAATTATAAAAAACTAACTCCTGATTGTTTGTGTTCTCCCGTGTCAGTTTTGTTTGATGATTTACAAACAAATTATTGACCCTAAAAATGATGAAATTAGTCTGCTCTTTAAATAACCATACATTCAATACCGAATGCATTTGTCGTTTGAAACAGTACTCGATAAAATGAAACGAGTGAATTTGACATTCTTATCAATGCACGGTTAATTTGATGGACAAAATATAACATATACATGTTATATAATTGTCCTGTAATCGTTCATAGTTACATAATTATCATAGAGTATACAGAAATCCGCAATTCGGAGTGTTTCAAAATTTTTGGTAGGATATTCTAAATATTTATGAAAAACAAATCAATTAATTATAAGGTTGTGAGATGTTTCCATTTCCTTTTTAATTGAATTTTATATTTGCTAGTAAACACATGTTCGTGTAACAAGTAGCTGCTATAGAAATAAGTGCAACTTTGTTTCACTGTTTTATTGAACCAAAGAACCATAATGACACTGTCCAATTTTGTATCAACATACATGCATAAATTTCTCTTATCTCGTACGTTTGGTCCATTTTCACTAATGGGTGTTTGTTTAGTAATTATACCAAAAGCAGACTTGTCGTATATTTCTACATTCGGTAATCGGGTTTTGTTCAGTTCAATATATACAGTCTAGTCTAGTCTAGAAATAGTTTGACAAATAATTTGTGAACAGTCCATAGACGTTTTGCTTTAAACGAATAACTTTATTATGTTTTTCGTTTCAATATGAATATCCTCTCATATTTTTATGTTTTATTTTCCTTGTTTTACATTATTCAGACGATCGCTATGGCATCTATCAGCCTTGGCGGTAAAGTACAAGAAGAACACCAACGGCTGCGTGATGTGATTGTTTCTTATTACAGGTACAGGTGTAATATTTTAATCTAAAATATATCTTCATAGTTTAAATCACAAACTGATCTTAGTTGGACCACCATTAGAAACCTGAGAGCAGTGGATCACTGTCCGAGTACGGGACTCCTCAACAATGTGCATCCGTGATCCTGCATTCAGCAGTTTAACACATTACAGTCGGTTTTGCACATAAACATTTAATCAGTAGATCACTGAGATGGCATCCAACGGTTTTAGTAATCAACTTCATCCAATTCACTATGTTACTCGGCTATTATCTATTACCTGTGATGGATAACTGTTTCACGTCAAACATGATTAAACTCCACCTGTTACGCTTCTCACTTGAACTTCAAGAGTCGCATTTTAAAGCTTGAAGAAAACGACCATCCTGTGCTTCCATGTTTCCAATGGTGGTTTCACTGAAATTAGTTTATGATTTAGATTTTTAAAATTCTATGATTTCCACAAAGCTCACAGTACTTAAATATGTCTGTCAAAATTTTTCTACGTGCTTTCTGGGAACACGTGTATGTTGTCATTGAGCAACGTGAAGTTCCGAATGATATTTCGAGTATAATTGCTTCATAAAAACAACTATTGTAGATTTACTAAGTTTTTTTAAAGTTATCTAATTTATTTATTTATTGGAGCACAAATTTTGGCACAAAGGGGCACCAAATATATAGGCGCCACACAATAATTATGAGAGTGTGAAGAAATAAAGACTGTAAGGTGCGTATAATAAAAAAGAAGTACAACAATGAACAAAAATTAGTGTATGTTAGTGAAATAATAATAATAATGGGAGAGACAGTTTAATTAGCAAATGTAAAGCCACAGAGAATTCTTCCACTTAAAGAAGTTACGTCTTTTTTCATGAAGAAAGTAAAATCAAGTTACAGCAGGATCGCGACTGGTTTCTATTCTGAGCCATATCTGATAACGTCTCTAGCCACTGTGTTACACCATCTCTCGGAGCCCAGCCAGGGAGTTGAGAAGGTCCAACAGAAGCCAGCTCTTTGCAGATTTCTTTCATACCACGACACCATGTCATACACTGACCACCCCTCCGCTCTTTCCAACCAATCCCATTGTCGCCAAATAATACACGACGTGGGATTCTCTAGGACGACATTCGTAGAACATGTCCAAGCCACCGAAGTCGATGTTTCAAGATGGTGACACCAATTAGATTATGGTCACCGAGCCCGAACACACGATGCCGAACCTCTGCATCACTGACATAGTGTTGCCACTGAATGTCAGCAATCCTTCGGAGACAACGATGATTGAACACAGAGAGTCGTCTAACGTCCTCAACTCGGAGAGGCCAGGTTTCACAAGCATAGAGCAGAACTGCTCTCACCGATGCGTTGTAGATCCGAAGTTTTACAGCCAGACTATCGTCACGAAAGCAGCGAAGATGTCCCAGATTGGCATAAGCCGCTCTGGCTTTCACTATATGTGAATTGATCTCATTACTCATACCCCCACCGGCACTTATATCGCTACCTAGATACACGAACTTCTCGACTGCTTCTATCTGCTCACCATCCAGGGTGAGTACAGGATTAGAATTTCGCCAGTCTTGTAGAAGTACTTTGCACTTCGAAGGTGCAAAGCACATACCATACCTGCGGACACTGATTGCCAACTGATTAAGTGCGGATTGCATGCCTTGGGCATTATCGCACAGTAAGACAATATCATCCGCATACTCAAGGTCGAGAAGTCTTTCTCCAGGCGACAGATCCACACCGCCACTACTTACATTCATCAGAGCTGTTTCCAGAATGTCATCGATGGCAAAGTTGAAGAGTAATGGTGAGACTGAGCAACCCTGTCTAACCCCACTGCTTGAATGGAACAATGAAGAGAGGTGGTTGTATGCCTTCACTCTGCCTGAGGTGTTTGTATATAGAGCCCTTAGGATGTTAATAAACTTCTCAGGCACACCCTTCCTCAATAGACAATCCTAGAGAACAGTCCTATCCAACGAATCGAAGGCAGTCCTGATATCAAGAAACACTACGATTGTTCACCTGTGATAAGTATGGCGGTGTCCTAACATTTGGCGAAGGGTGAAGATATGATCAATACATCCTCGACCAGAACGAAACCCAGCCTGCTCCTCGCGAGTTAATCTTTCTCGAATTTTGAACAACCTACGAAGAATGACGGAAGCCAATAGCTTGGACGCAATCGGAAGTAAACTTATCCCCCGATAGTTGTTACAGAACGACGTGAACCCTTTTTAAAGATAGGGACAACCATCGACTCATTCCATGACGTTGGTATACTCTCTAGTTCCCAGACCTTTGTAAACAACGTCGTCAGTCCCTTGGTCAGAAAGTCACCACCATCTTTAATAAGAACCGGAGGTAAGTCATTTAGGCCAGGTGATTTGTAGCGCTTCAAGAGTTGGAGTTCCTTGCGGACTTCCGCCTGATTTGGTGGATCAGTCGTCACAGGTTGTGGAGGGAAGGGACCAGTTAAACTGCTCCTCGAAAAACTGCCCATCGTTCACGACGTCTTTTGTTGTTAGTGATTGGCATCACGTCATATTCACAGATTGTTTCGCTCACACCAGATTTCTTGCTGCCCGTGGCTCGGACGAGTTTAAAGAGCTTCCGGCAGTTACTGGATGCACCTGCAACGCTTCGACCACCAGGCTTCTCGGCCATTACGCAAGCTTTGATTTATTTCATTATATAACAGTCGTCGTTTGTGGTCAAACTCACGGAGTAGATCGACGGGCTTCAGTGATTTGTAAGGAGCCAGAAGAAATTCAGTGCTTGTAAGTGGGACACATGGGTTCCAATATCCTTTTAAACTCATCTAATCTTAATTGTCCAATGGATTTTTAGCATTTACGCCTTGTCACACCAATATTTTCCTTTTTCAGGACACTTCACAAAAACCGTCGTAGTCCTTTGGAAGTCGGTGATGATTATGATCGTTTACGGGAAAGTCTTGTACAAACTGAATTATTTCTGATGCGACTGTTAGCTTATCACGTTCGTCGTCCCTCTCTACCACATCCATATCTAGTTCATTATCTTCATTCATTACTCCATTGGGTTGGTAAAGGTATAGCACAACCATGCGGGTCCGATTTGAACGCTGGTGGAAATTCAGTAAATGCTTCTGCAATTGCATTAGCACGACTTCCTGGTTTGGCTTGGTCAATACTGGCGGATTCTTATCAGTCAGCTATGTGTTTAGATTTCGCCCCAGAGCATATCGCTGCAGCCGTACTGCATTTAGCTTTACGGATTGCTGGTGTTGAAATACCTGGTAATCGACACTCTGAAATGGCCTGGTGGCAGGTAGCTTTCAATTTTTATTTCTTTTAATAATGTTTTTTAGTGTATTTCCAAATTAGCACCTAAATTCACAATACCGATGAGTCGTATGATTACGGTATGTGTCTAACTCAGACTTATGCGACTTAGCTGAGGGTGAAACAAAATTCTGACATAATTTTCAGAAGTAATAATTTTATGTTAGGTTATTTGAGGTAGTCATGTGATTCATATCGTATACATCAGATGGTGTAATCAAAGTCATTTAAATAATAATCTGGCCGTTGACTAATAATACACCTTTACTATGCAGAATACACAAATACTATTTTGTATGAGGGTGTAGAAGTAGTTTTAAACATGTACTTTAATAGACTTGAACAGTTATTGTTTACTAAACGATCTGACCAATCATTTTATTGCATAATTTAGTCGTTGAATGAACTTTTATTGTGAATTTAAATCTATCTGCTGACTACTTATTTCTCTGACCGAACAATTTAGACCATTAAGTGATACACTGTTAAAACTGTTCTTTTTTTAAAAAGACAGCGAAATATCCCTCATGTTTGTCACTGAATGGTCATTTCTTGTTGTCTCGTCCCTTTTATGTGGTCATATACTATTGATCGGATCCCAGTGAGGCTACTAAGCAAGTGAATCATTATTGAGTACATTATACTAGGTGGTTGAGGAGAATTAAGAATAAAAGTCATACCTACTTTTCCCGTCCATTTGCACTGATGAATGCTCAAAAACCCATCCCACCTGGCTCTGAACATGACGAAAAGCGAAGTCCGCTTAAGCGCAGGCTACGCAATGGTCGCGAACAGTGGTGGGTAGCGAAAGCAAGAGAGATAGAAAAGAAAGTGGCAACAGGTAACAGCAGACAACTGTTCAACCGATGGTTAGAGACCTTGAATGACATGGCTCAAAATCGTTTGCGATGGCACAGGTGCATTTACTCTGTGTTCTTCCAAATTCTAATCTTCTGAATTCTTCATGTCCCTCCTTTCTCTTTCCAAATTTATTTCACTGAATTATACTCCTTGAATAATATCTTCAATCCCTAATCTTTCCGAATACTGCTTATACTCTCACTATTTCTACCACCACGTGTTTTGAATCGACAACTGCATCTCTGTGCTAATGTGGTATGGCGACTCGAACTGATGTACGTACGTACGAAGTTCTACGTTGTTGCTGACTGACTGGCTGCACTCGTTTGATTCTAAAGACTTGATCATCAAAATGTTTTGTTAATAGATAAATTTATCTATACGTTATAGAGTATTGGTCAATAATTTTAAAACTATTTCTTGTTTTTTAAAGGCTATTTCAGATAGTTTGTCCCGTGAAATAGTTGAACAAATCCAACTTCGAGTAATGGATATTTATGCAGTGGATGATAAATTTAAAGCCAGTACACTTAATCGTTTCACTGATGAATTTTGAGGACGTTGGCGAACACCTTTGCATTTTTTTATACTGTTTTTCATGTACATTCGAAATGTATTGTAAAGAAAATTTAATATTGAAATTTGTTAACATCCTAGTCGTTTTTCATTGTGTTTCTTTCCACACTTCCCGTTTCTCATTTGACGATTTAAAATGATCCTGAACATAGATTAATCAAAAGTTTTCTGAAATTCTATTTCCACTGCAGACACTCGATTCTTTGAATATCACAAAGTATCAATCGTGTTTTTCAATAAGATTCATATACATACGTATACTTGTTACTGTTTTTCTTTGTATTCCTGCTTTCTATAAACGTCACATAGTTTCTTATTGTGTTCATCTTCTTAGAACTGCTTTTTGATGTATCCACTGGCGGATTTAAATAAATTAATTGTATCAGGTGAATTTTTTTCCAGTAACTACTATTTGTAGTTTGCAGCCTTCATTAGGTGGCATTAAAAACCTCAAAAGTGCACTCCCATTAATTCTTCAATGATCGTAGTCATCACCTTGGGGTATTGTGACGAAAATATAACCATTAAAACCACTGTGTCTAACGATGTACGATGTTTACCACCTGTAATAGATTATTCCTCATTTGGTTAGCTTCACCTACTGCCCTGTGTTTATGAAAAAAAGAAACCTTTATCAGAATCAAAAGTGAAGTTTATCAAATAAAACTCATCTTTTGTTGCTAACTATTTACTTAAGTAAATTATCAGTAAAATACTTGTATATTTCTTATGAAGCTAAAATGTACCTTGATCTTATTCCCTTTCTTGGGTCGATATTTAACCTTTCATAAATAAGCTTTTGTTTTATCACTGGACGCTGTTTTAGAAAACACGTTACAAATGAATCGCCGATACTTGCTCTCATATTTTTTGACATATTCGTGGCTGCTTTCACGTTATATATTTGTCGGACATAGATACCGTTTGGCTGTTCAAGGCATATAAATAATTCCTACGTATTATACTTGGAAATCGACTTGTGAATTCTGTTTGAACTGATTAGTTTTCTTTTGGAAATACTTTCACTTATCCGAAATTCATTTTAACCAGACTGGTATATTTTATGAACATGATTTGCATTTTTCAATGGGTTTTATTATTCTCAGCAAAACATTTCCAATTGCAAATGATGGGAATCATCAAAGTTTTGTCAGTTCAAAAAACTTGCCGGTATTTTACATTTTTGGTCAATATCTAAGTTATCTTCCTTGAATCTCTACTCAAAACTAATTGGGAAGATCCAGACATGTCACGGGCCTTTAATCACATGTTATCTCAAGCCCAAACGCTAGGTGAAATATAAGCGAAGAAATTTGTATTCACTATTCGAGTCTGGGAGGTATACCTTCCTTCAGTCTTTTTATTTGTGTACTGAGTTTTGGATACAGTAGGAATTGTAAGTCGTAATTGAATCAAAACACAACACAATTCTGGTGACGAGGATAAATAATCGCAATTTCACATCATCAGACGAAATATTCAATAACATTACCATCAGAGGATCTGCAACCATAATTCAGTTACAAATGCATCTTGGGTGGATTTTGCCAAAAGTTTTATATTGGTACATTCAGTATCATCCAGTTGAATTCACTTGTTTGATGGAAAGCAATCGCTAGTTGATTAATCGATCTTTAGCATTATTTAATCCCACCTGGACACTACCCCGACCATTGTTGCTACCTTGACTTGAGGGTCGGGCTTGCCTATCGTGATGAAGCAACCGAGCTATACTGTCTGGAACAACTGTCCCTCAAGGTCCTACCATCTCAGACAGGTCGGTTGATGAGCGGAAGACTAAAAGCAACAAACATAAGGTCCGAAGGCGAAGTCGTACTGCTGACTGTACAGAGGTGTGACAGCAGTAAGGTGTTCCTTCAGACAACCAGCATGACAGCGATGCTGCCTTCCCACAAGGAGGGGTTGGGTTAGAAAAGGTCGACCCTAAAAATGCACACCGCCTTATCCCACGATATCCGTCTCCGGCGGTAAGGTCTCAACAAGTACGGAGCTAACACGAAAATTACCCATAAAAAGGTCGTGTGTGACCGGCCTCAAGCAGTTGTCACTTGGGCACTGCGGTCACTCTCCCAGGTCACTAAGACCACCTCTAATCCAATTTCCTTTTCAGGTACCTCCAGAACAACCCTTCCACGGTGTGGGCAACCGGGAAGTGATAACCGCCCTCATACCTCTAACATCACTCAAGACCACTGGACTCTAAGGATTTTAATATGAAAGTTGGCATGTAATGACAAAATTACCGAATGACCAGATCTATCTAGTTATGGATTCTGTTTGATTTCATCCAATATCTCTTGTTTATTTGCTATTCCATCTGATTCTAATAATATTTTCCCATCGACCTCCGTATCCGTGGAGTGTCGCAATTCGTCTTTTAATTCATCTATTAATAGTGAGCCCTAATTTCATGATATGAGCGGTTATACACAAACATTATGTAGACATTTAATTTATTATATCTCCTCTCACTTATCGTCTGGGCTTTAGACAGTATAACTCCGCCTGTAGCTCTTCTAGGGTTACTGCCGTTCTCAAGCTCGGGCAAGGGTGGAGGGTTGTGCATGGGGTCACCAATCCCAACCTTCTGCACACACAAATGATAGCGAAGAAGATAACAAAGATCAGTTCTATCAAGATATGCATTCAATCATAGAGAAGTACACAAGGAATGGACTCACGAGTCTGAAGTAAGACCTAAAAGCCAAAATCTGAATAGACAACAACGGGTATGAAGATATAATGAGACGACATGGACTGATTGGGAGAAAGGAAGGAGAGTTCGGCAAATTTATGTGAATTCTACAAAATGATCGTGAATGCCATTATACCGCCAACAAATACACACAGAACTTCATAGGTCTCAACGGATCGATCATATTTGCATCAATAAAAAAGTTATAAGATTCATGGAAGACGTGAGAACCACGAGAGAAGCAGACATAGCTTCAGTTCACCACCAACTGTTTGTGGCGAGGATGAAACTGAAGCTAAAGCAACACTACATAACTGGAGAAACATCACTATAAACATTTGATATAGCTTTCTTTCGAGACACTGACAAACTCGATGAATTGAAGATCGCTCTGAACAATAGGTTGCAAGCCTTACAGGATCTACTGAGAGAAGAAGAAACTGTCATGGAGAACAACTGGAGAGTGATGAAAGAAGCACTGACTTGAACGTGTGAGTAGGTGCTGGATGTCAAGAATGGATCTCTATGGAAAGCGTGATAAAGATTCAAGAAACGAAGCTGAATGAGGCAGCAATTAGCACCAATCGAACGAGAACAGAGAAAGTCAAGGCACAAGCTGAATACACGGAAGTAAACAAGTGAGTGGAGTGGAGCATTAGTGATGACAAGGAGAAATGCATTGAAGATCTAGCAACGTAACAAGCTGGGAGGATAGGAAATATATATGACAAGTGAATGATACAACGAGAGGCGAGTAAGGTAAGTCTTATAAGATCTACTGAAAGAAGACACTATCATGGAGAACAACTGGAGATGGACAACACTGCAAAGTGGTGCATTGTGGACAGGTCACAGATGCATTCTGTGTAGGGATTGGAGTCGGACAAGGCTGCCTATTCACACCTTTTTTTCTTCTGTTATATGAGCACAAGCACATGATGTGTTTGAATTCGTCCAGCCCATCACATTTTCATATATTGTTTCATACTGCGAACTGTAAATATAGTGGTGAACATATTCCATGGGTTCTTAATAAATGTGGTTGTGGAAATGTTAACCTGTGGCCTGAGTGCCCTGTTAATGGATAACGTAATAACACCGCGAATCAGAAGCAGTGAATTGCCGATTGGACCAAGGACGCGTAAAACACGTGCAAGTAACCTAGAGTTCTGATTGGTCCTGCTTTCAGCCTAGCCCAGCCAGTTGAGTCCAGAACACCGATCTCAGTCTCTGGAATATGAATTCTGTATTTCAAACATACTTGGTTTATATACCAATCAAACAGAACACAACGTACCATAATATAGAGAATAACATATGTACAAAATTTTGGCCAAATGTGGCTGTGAATGTGGGAGGCAGTGACTAAAACTGTCCTATCTGAGCTTCATAATTGACATCAGTCGGATGATACAACTTTGCCTCAGCGATACGAAATATCGCAACTCAGTGAATCCAAACAATTAGAATTGGAAATGATCTACTATAAGTTTGAAGTAGATACACTAATTGGTTGTTGTGTGCATTATCATTTGTGCAAATAAAATGGATCTATATATCTGGTGTATTGTACTATATTAAAATACGATGCTCGAAATTCCCGTTCCGAAACATTTTGCTATTCATGCACCCAGTCAATTAACTTGCAAATCTGTAAAAATTAACCTTGGAATGTTTTCGGAGTTTGTTCGGTTCGAGGTGAGACTGATGGAGTTCAATCATATCAAATATGAGACTGGTTTATCTAATGCATGTGATTGATGGTCTCAACTTGGCAAATAGGCAAGTTGATTTGAACCATAAGACATTAACTCGGTTGTTCCGAATCGCATACTCACCATGAAGTTTCATGGTCATGGATTCATATTACTGAGAAGCTTCATACCAGGACAGAAATTATATCTAGTGCTCTCTGTTTTTCAATGGTTATTTATTTGCAGATAATTTGTTGTAAACTATTTTCTAAGTAAACATTTTATAATAATCAGATTTACTACTGATAAGTAATTTGAAAAGTTGATATCCATTCCGGTATTATCAATATTCGAATTTTAACAAGCATTCTACTCTGACATTAATGTTAATCCCATTTCTTAAAAATTAACTACGTTTCTCTGATATCCGGACAATTGTCTAGGAAGTAACTATCTTATTTTACGTTATGTCGTCACAAACCACAATGTATAACTAACAGTGCTAAGTATTGGGAAGCATGAGGCATTGATCCCCAGTCTATTGACTGGCAGGCTTGTCGTGAGACATGA